TATGTTTCAGCTAAAAACATTAACCTTGAAAACGCAATGCAAAACCAAAGGCTTGGTTCGTTAAATTTCAATCGCTTGATTAAGTCGATTCGTTATGTTTCTAGCTACGATTAAGTCGATGATAGTGTCATGTTGATGAATCAACGAGGTTGCTCTTGTGACACCTAAGACTTTTGTTGATGTGTAAATCTTCTTGATCTACACGAGGCGGCTGACGATAACGATCAGCTCTTCGGTTAGACAGGTGAATTCTTTACGCTGATTTATCGTGTACATTACATGTACCTTCTCCCTGATGCTGTGCGACATTAACACGCCATATATTCAGAGACTAAAAAAAGTCCACTCTGTTGGGACTCGGGAGTGTGACCTATAGTTGTTACGGTTCGTACCTCATGATCAGAGGGTAACGGGTGTGAATCCGGCTGCTAGTCATTATGTTGTGTCCATGGGCAAGCCACTTGCCTCTCTCCACCCAGGAGTATAAATGGGTACCGGATTTAGCTGAGAAGCAACCTGCGATGGACTAGCATCCCATCCAAGGGGGTAGAAATATTCTACAAAGTAAAGCCCCACTCCAAATAGAGCTTCGTAATGAATTTGTTTAAAATGTCACAATATCAGAAATTTTCCGAGAAACTGCCAAATGAAAAAAAACTCTTACAACGCGTCACGGTACCTTTAAGAACCTATGTATTTGTTAGCGATATTTGTCGGGAAATTAAATTTCCTGATCTTGCAATTTCTGCTGCAACTTCCTAATAAAAATACAAATTACCTTGGTCTGTTTTCAGCTGAAGCGTCACTTTTAAAAAAAAATACATTCAGTTTGTATCTCCCATTACGAAGAAATGGCAGGCAATAAATAAATAGAACGTGTAATGTATTGGACAATAAAAGAGAGTGCACGGTCCCTGAACATGAAAGGCGAGTAATTTGTTTGGATCAAATGCAATCTAGTACAGCCGTGGTAGAGAGATATTATAACATGTTTGCAGTGGCGTATCCAGGGGGGGGGGGGGGGGGGGGGAGGTGGGGGCAGGGGATTGATTTGCTCCCCCGGCAGATTTTTTTGACATTTTTTGTTGTTGAGCAATTACTGTAACAATATGGTTTAGTTCTGACATCAATCCACAAAAGAAAACCAGCACAAAAACCATTACAATGCGAAGTGAAAATGAGCATATAATTTGCAGTTTGCATAATAATGATCAGTTTTGAAGGGCGCCCAATATAGAGACCCCCCCCCTTTGATTTTACGGAGGCCAAGTGTACGGATACAAAAAACCGTGTACATTTCGGCGCGGATGTGCGGTTGCCCCCCCCCCCCCCCCTCCGACATCAAAAGCTGGATACGCTACTGCATGTTTGTAATTATACCCCTCGTTATTACAGCTCGCCTGGTCAAAGGCAGAGATCGTCAATTGGAATGGAATAAAAAAAAACACGATGTCTGGGCAACATGTTTTGTGTCTATACTGCACTGTCGAATGTTCTGTACGAACGTGAAAGCTAAAACCCGCTGGGATCACACAGCACGAGTAAAAACAAATACATGCAATTCCCGCCCACGTCTCCGACGCTGAACTCTGTTTGATAATCGTATTTGCTGTATTAAAGTGATAATCTCTACCAAGGTGAACAAGAAAAACGTGAATCAACGATGATATTTTTAAAACAACCCTGTGGTTTATCTTAACTTCAAAGTGCTCTGTGAGCATATTGCATTATCTAATGTACAGATTTGTTTCACAGCCATTCGTTTCACTGTATGCTTTCATCTGCGTGAACTTTAAATTGTATCCACCATTGCCTGTAAAAGATGCATTGATTTTAAAGAACTCCCCATATAAGTTTACATTACAAAACACATTTAAGACGACATGTTATTGAATTGATAGGGTCTGATGTGATTCAAAGCCGAGGGTAAATCCTGTAAAGCTGGTGTTGACGAGGAGTGGCTAATACCGAAGGGCCACAACTGTCGGCATATTGACGTCAACGGTGCCGATCGAGCTGCGGGTAGGCGCACTGTAGCTTCGCCTGGCGCGCTCGGAGCAGGGTGACCGTTTTAGCAGATTTTCGGCTAGATCTGACAATGGTTTTAGCAAAAGTTGAATGGAGCAGAAACTCTACCAGAATAACAATTTTAGCGGATTTTAATTCTGTAAAATCGGTGATCATAGCAGAAAAATATAGCAGATCTGTTGAACAAGCTTCAATCACTTCAAGCAAACCCTTGAACAGCGGGGACAGGCTGGTCAGTCTAAGCGTTGAGATTCCCTGACGAGTACGACCACGCAGTAAAGTATAATGTGCATAGTAGCCCGCTAAACATCTGCATGTGAATATATGCATAAGTGTTTGTAATGGTTTGGTGCAATTCTTGGTAATTTAGCAGATTTTTTTGTTAAATTTAGCAGAATTTTGAAATGCATCTAGCAGACTTCTGCGATTTGCATCTGGTCACCCTGGCGCGGAGGGCGTAGACGTTTTGATAGGTGTGGTGTGAAACGGTTTTGTTTTGTCGGATGAGTAAGTGGTCATATCAGGCACCAAGATCACGTGACTCGTTGCCCGTCTTATGAGTTTGACCTTAAAGACGCAGGAAGCAGTTCTGATGGGACAATCGATCGGGTGTGTTGGCACAAAGCATCATGCCGGCAGAAAGCTGCGACAGCTGTAATTGGACAGTAAAATCTATCATCGCATTTAAGCGTCGCAGAAGAAGCCATGATTGTATGCTGTGTATGCGTAATTAACTATTTAGCCAATTTGATGGGGTAAGTTCATTTTGCCTTATAATCAACCTGGGTCAAACATTACCGACGATGAGCTGAACACTAACATCCGAAAAAAAACCCGAAGTATCAACAGACAACGGTAATTGTTACTTCGCACATTAAACAACCCATCGTATTGGATGTGACACGCTACTTACGAGCAGTAGATTGGACGACTGTTATCCGAATGGAGAGCTGCCAGTGATCAAGATCAAAGCATAGATTATAATCAAAGTAAGTATTTTTGTTTTGGTTTTTCATCTCAAAAGTCGGCCTAAGTATGGGAGAATATAATTCAGTAGCTCGTCTCGAGACATCGTCATTGCGCTCATTTTATTGAGACTCTATAGCTCGTTCTATCCCAAAGTAGAATCAACTGGTACAGTGTTCGGTTGAAGTATACAATATGTTGATTGATGGTTCTTATCCTGTGACACTTTCAGTTTATTGATTCATAATCGTTACACTGAGGACTGATTTAATTTTTCAATGCTTTTAAAAAAATGGAAAAGGGCAAAGGGTTAGAGAGAAGAGAAATATGGCGGAAAAACCGTTAATCGGGAAAGCTATAGGTAGGAATTGATATTCCTCACAAAAGAGGTTAGATCATAGAATGGAGGGAAACATGCACTAGGCAAGGAATTCCAAAGAGATACAGAGCGTGGGGAAAAGCTATTAGAGTTTAGTTCTTTGTTCTACATCTCGACACAGCTATTTGTGTATGGATGAGAGGAAGCAGAGAGCCTGGTTGTATGATCACACACCCTGATGGTAGGAACCTTGAGTCAAACAAACTGTCGGAACGATTTCCATAAAAATATCTGTAGAACAGACAGAGGGTGGCGACTGACCTACGGTGGGAAGGGAAGAGGGGTTGTAAATGTAATGCGGATGAGCCCTACTCCTCACCAACAAAATTAACGATTCTTCTTGTTTTGGTTTTTCCCAAGTATGGGAGAGTACAATTAATTTGCTCGTCTCGAGACATCGGAACAAACTCATGCCCAATATTATTTTCTAGATCTCTGGTTTTAAATCGGCCCAGCAATATATACAATGTACATATATATTTTTTATTTGGTTCTATGTTGTTACATTAGGTGACTTCTCACATGTATGCATAGCGCACTGAGCATCTTTGTATTGCTGACATCAGAAGTATAATAAAGATTCATTATTTCATTATCAGTACAACATTGAAAAAAAATCGTATAGCGTATTGCGAATAATTATACATAATTGGGATCAATGTAGAGTCTATACAGAGATCCAAACTAAACAACCAATTGCATGTCCCTCTCAAGAGCAAAGTCAATATATACGTAACCCTTCACAATGATAGCAATCAATGTAAAGTGTCCTCTACAAGGACAAAGGCATTAACCACAGACCACTGGGCAAAAGTACACTATTTCACATAGTAGTTTTCGTCACCCCCACACTCCCCGTTAATGTTCAGACCCTGTACGTTAAGAGTACGAGGGCAGTGGTTTGGTATGGCTTGGATAGGCATTGAAAGATATTGTTGTATCCTTGTTACTAAATTAAAAACAAAGAACATTCTTTGAGGCACCCGCAACGTAAAAGGTCTATATAATCTCCCCTGAAATTGAGGGTGAATGCAATGATGGTGATATGTGTTGCGCACCTTCAATTTATAAACTTGAATCAGTATGGCAAACAGCATTAGTGATAATACATCATCATTAAGGCACTGCATCCAATACCAAAACCGCCGTTTTAGTTTTTTTTTAATCTGAGTTAGTTGAATAACTGCAGCTTTGTCGACCAAACAAAATTGAAAGATAATTCAGCATGCATATTTTGCAAGTCACCCGATTCGTGCATTCCGTTTCTAATTCCGTATAGTTCGTAAAGCGGTCTGTCTTTGCATGAAGTCAGACCGCATATACGTGTTCCTTTATACATTGAAATATTTTTGGAAGACAGATTTATCTATTGCTTAAACGAAAATCAGCTCTGTAAACTGTGTATAATCAAACAAAAATATAACAGGTGTGTTATCTTTATTCTTGTCACAGGAGGAACTGCGTGTGCTCATGAAACGATGTCACTGGAGTGAGATGTAGACGATAAGAGAAATCGACATAACGGGACACATGTATTACCGGCCCTTGGATCGCTTTCAGAGTGAAGAGTTTTGGTGCCTTAGCTGAAATAGATTCTCTAAGGAAAAAAATCTTTACATTCGTCACAATGGTAGATTTTATAAAGGAGTACCCTGGACTCTTCTACATGGATGCCGTGTGGATCGGCTTTGTGTCCATTGCAGGTGTCATTGGCAACTCCCTGGCACTTTGTGCCGTGGCCACAACTCCGTCCCTTCGCACATTAACCCAGCTTCACATCACCATCTTGGCGGGGATAGATCTCTTCATCACGGGGGTGCTTGCTCCCTGCCGCATCGCTACGGAGTACTACTCCGGCCGTTGGCCTCGCCACCAGCCATGGTGTCATTTCCTAGCTTACGTCGTCATCTTCGTCACCGGTTACTCTCTCCAGCAGCTGATGTACCTGTCACAGAATCGGTTTCTACGGGTGACCAGATCTGCCGCCTTCTTCAGGAAGATAGTGAAGCCACTCATCATCATTCAGCAGGGCTGTGCCGTGACCATTACAAGCATGTTAACCCTTCTCCCTCTTTATTCGGGTTTTGGTTCTGTGGGCTACCACACCAAATCACATTTCTGTTTTACCACCGGTCGCAACCAGCAGGTCCTTGCGGCAATCTGCATGGTTATGGCCCTTGTTGTTACACCAACATTTTACGGTCTGACCTTCATGCATGTTCGAGCCCATCGACGAAAGGTACAGAATTGGCAAGGACTTCGTCTGGAAAGCACTGGGAACTTGAACAATGGCTCCACGCATACAGCAATATACGGAAACGCAGCAACCGTGCATCAAAATAAAGGCATAAGACAACTGCAAACAAACGGGCAAATTCACGGTAAGATAGATGCAAGCAAAGGCATGGTCAGCTACCAAATTCCTGATGTGGAATCTGCCAACCTCCGTACAGCAATTGGGTCAAACAGCGCCTACGGAAAACCCAATACGTCAACGTCAGTAAATTCAACCGCACCGGCAGCCGAAGTAGCGGTGAACCCACCGGTACCCGTACCCAAGAACGCAGCTCGCGTTCGCCCCAAGAACGGACCGACACAGGAGAGTATGAAAATCACCAGGAACCTACTGTTGATATTCTGTGCCTACATCTGCTGCTGGCTGCCTTGGTGTATCCTGAGTCTGATTGAACCCCACGTGGACGTACCCGTACCTGTTTACCACGTAATCAATAACATAATATGGACCAACAGCTGTATCAATCCATACTTGTACGCCTCTATGAGCCGCATCTACAGAAACGCCTTCAAAAGGTGCTGTCGACTCAAGTGCCTTCGTAAGCGATGAAATGTGCACCCAATATAACTACTGAAAGTACAATGTATATAGCAAAAGCAAAGGAAAGTTGATCAGCAAACTAATCGCGGACATAATTATGAAGAAGGGTTGAAGGGTCTCGCTTAGTCTAGATGGTAGCAGCGTAATCCGTGTTAACTGAAATCCTTTGTCAAAATTTCAAAGTGTATCCACTTTCCTACGGATAGGTAGCGTAGCAAAACAATCCAGTGGGGCGTCTACCAAAAGTTCTTTTCACAAGATGTTCCTAATCACTCATTCCAAAATCAGTTGAGGGCGAAGTCCATAGTGCACACGTTTTCGAAACCGTGTTTTCGGGTCCCTTCCATCCAGTCTCTATATGAAACATGTACGATCGGGTATGTGCTTGTACATACATCAAATGGTCGGTCGCATTCTTTTTCACTAATAATGCACTTTCCGGGGTTTTTTTTTGGGGGGGGGGGGGGAGGGGTGGTCATGGAGGAGGTTCGATGTCACTGCCATAAATGCCAACTATCATACGTGTTTTTAGAAGACAGTAATTCCATTATTTCTGCAAAATTTCTAAAGCTTAATCAGTTTTGGGTTTTGCACCAAACACAGCAATGGCTATGAAGTGGCGTATAGCGATTGGGAAGGCGGTTCGACTCAAATGTAATGTACTAAGATTTCCTTCCATATCCCTTTGGGTTATATTTTGCTAATCTTTTCCGATAAAACATTAAGAGAAAAGCTGAAGTATTTCCTTCAAGCTTGAGATTGCGTGGCTGGCTCTCACTAATTCGAAAAAAAACCCAAAAACCCGCATTCCAATGACAGGACACATTTTTGAATGAAATTTTGCCTGCAGCACTTTCAAAATCTAGGATATGAAAGCCCAGTCATTAAGCTTTCTTATAGTACACAAATCATTCAGTTACGGAATTTTGAGCACAAACTCCGTTTTAAAGTTAAGTCCATGGATCAAAAAAAAGAAAAAAGTAAGTGTTCTTTCAGCAAAACGAAAACAATTCTCAGAGGGATGCATGCGAATCGGTTTCGTTTTGCTGAAAGAACACGTAGGCCTACCGGTACCTGTTTGGTGATCCGTGCAGAACTTTAAAACGGTGTTTGTGTTCAATATGCCGTAACTTAAAAAGTACTTGAGAGATTTGAATGATTCATGTGCTAAAGGGAAGTTCATTAATTGGGCATTCTTATATATAGGTTTTGAAAGTGCTACAGGCAAAACTGCATTCAACAATTGGTCCTGCCATTTGGGATGCGTTTTTTTTTATCACCATGTAGTTGAATGATTGTATACAACAGATTCCTACAAACTATAATTAAATTGTATGACAAGCATTTTCCATTACAAGAGGTTAAATGCCGATATGATAAGTGCAAGTCTCCCTGGCTTTCTAATGGTATCTACAACTCGATAAGGAGGAAAAACTTCTTGTATAAAAAATTCCTTAGAAATCCTAATCCTCATAATAAATCCATTTATACCTCATACAAAAATAGATTGAATACTTTGATACGAAATGCGAAAAAAAATTATTTCTCAAAGAAATTCGGCCAGGAAAAGGGCAACATTAAAGGGACATGGCGTTTAATTAATAACCTACTTAACAAGGGTAAATCGAAACCCAACCCGTCTCAAGATGGCGTACAAATAAATGGTAATGAAGAAATTGCCGACACATTTAATGAGTATTTTGTAAATATTGGAACTCAACTTGCAGACAAGCTACCATTATGTAATACCGATTGTCAGTCTTTTCTTAAAGACAGATGTTCACATTCTCTCTTTTTAACACCAATAACAGAAGAAGAGATTGAGGATACCCTCAACCAAATTCCAGGTAGTAAGGCACCTGGCTTTGATGACTTAAGCCCTTTTGTTATGAAACAAGCAAGGAGTAGTCTTTCAAAACCACTGGCTAAAATCTTCAATAAGTCCATGGCTATGGGAGTTTTTCCTGAAGGGCTAAAAACAGGTAAAGTTATTCCAGTGTATAAAAGGGGAGATGAACATGAAGTTAGTAATTATAGACCTATTTCAGTTTTATCTACATTTTCTAAGGTTTTCGAAAAGTTAATTTACAAAAGACTTATATGTTTTATAGATAAACACAATATTTTATCAGAATCTCAATTTGGATTTAGGTCAAACCGCTCCACCGAGATGGCAACTTCTTATGTGGTAAATAGACTTCTTGAGGCCATAGACGACAAAAAGATCGCTATCGGTGTATTTTTAGACTTGTCTAAGGCCTTTGATACAATTAATCATGATATCTTGATTTCTAAATTAGAGCACTACGGAATTCGAGGAATAGTTTTAGACTGGTTCAAGAGTTATTTGTCAAAAAGAAAACAGTTTGTATCATTCAATTCTGCAAAGTCTACATGCAAGACTATTACCTGTGGAGTCCCGCAAGGTTCTGTTTTAGGACCACTTCTATTCATTCTGTATATAAATGATATTTGCAGTACATCAGATGTAATTGAATTTACTTTATTTGCTGACGATACAAGTTTGGTGTATAGTCATAGTAATGTAGATGCTGCTGTAAGTAATCTTAATCATGAATTTCTCAAAATAAGCACTTGGTTGGTAGCAAATAAATTTTGTATTAATCTACTTAAATCAAATTATATCATTTTCTGTCCTAAACAAAAGAAATACGCACAAACCATTCCTTTAAATTTCAATGGTACTATCATGAAACAAGTCAAAACAACCAAATTTTTAGGTATACATATTGATGAAAACTTAAATTGGAAATTTCACATTAATACCATATCTGGCAAAATATCCAGAACTGTAGGGATTATGAATCGCCTAAAGTTTTTTGTGCCGGAAAATATCCTTATCATTCTCTATAATTCTCTGATTCTCCCTTATCTTAATTACTCGATTCTCACGTGGGGTGGTTGTTCTTCCCAATGTGAAAAACTACTAATTTTACAAAAAAGAGCGATTCGTATTATATGTAATGTCAGTTATCGTGAACACACTACTCCCTTATTTGCTGCCCTCAATATTTTACGATTTAATGACCTTTATTACCTAAATTTAGGTAAATTCATGTATAAATATTCAAATAATTTACTCCCATATTGTTTCAACAATTTCTTTACTTTCACCTCGAATATTCATTCATATAATACTAGAAGCGTTTCAAAGCAAAACCTTTACGTTTATTCCAGTAGAACGTCAATGTTGAAAAACGGCCTTGTCCACCGGGGCATTGACTTTTGGAACAGGCTGAGTGATTCAGTTAAATCATCGTTAACTTTATCTACATTCACCAAAAAAATGAAAACTCAATTGCTTAACTCTTATAATGTCTGATGAATAATTATTTTTACTCCTGTTTGTTTTGTTATGTTCCTGTTTTGTCCCTGCGTTTTTGTCCCTATTCGTAACTTGTATGGTAATAGTAGGTATTTGTCCAAAGGTTGGGGTACAAAAGCTATGCTTCACCCTATACCTAACGTTGTTCCAGTATGTATGTTGTTGATTTATGATAAATGTTGGTTTGAATTCAATTTATATCCAGTTATAATAATGGAATTATAACATTAATTTTGTGTATTAATGAACAACGTTGAATAAATGTCTAGCAAATTGAATTGAAATTGAAATTGAATTGAATACATAATTTCCATTATCTCGTATAGCATTAGCATAATGAATCACTTCGTTGATTTTATATTTCTTTGCTTTCATAAACGAGCAATTTACAGTCCATGTTTCCCCCCCCCCCCCCATAAAATCAAGTACGGCTCATTAATTTTCTCGCCCAGCGTGCGTACGCATATCTTGTCTTTGTTGTCGAATTGGCTCATGACGAAAACAAAATCATTTGACAATACACGTGTACCTCGTTTGTCCCCTGCTCGTTAATCAATAACCGCATGCAGCGGCCGATCTCGAGAGTGGGAATTAAGAACTGCGCGTTTCTATTGTCCAACTATGCCATTATGTGCATTATTTTCGCTCCGGTGGTCTTTGGTCTCCAACAGCCCACCTATAATTATTAGAAAACTCAGTACAGCAGATGAAAAATAATTTTCAGTTATCATAATTTGACACATCTGAATGGTTTTGCAAGTACATGTACTCCTGCACGCTTAGTCACAATAGCCAAGTTTTGACACCTATTTGCAGTTTTGAATTTTGGACACTTATTATTAAATTAAAATTTAGCATTTGCTGTCCGTAAATGTTATTTTTTTCTCTCAAGAAAAAGTCTTGATCAATAATTGTGAAAAAGGTCAATGCCGGTTTTGTGAAATATTTTTCTATTATCTTCATTTCTGTTAGTTGTGTGGGGTTTTGTTTGGTCACAGAACACACAACCATTTTGGTCATTAATGATACGCTTGAACAATTATAATTTGCCTATATAACTATATTTCTTTCAATCTCAAGGGACACATATCAATGGTGTTTTATTCGATTCGAATTAATAAATGGTGTGATGTGGAAGAGGAAGTTTGACAAAGAGACAAGAGAAAACACAAACCACAATGAATCCTTAAAAAGAATGGGAAAAATAACAATAAATATGACTATACTATATAGGTAGAAAAAATGGTTGACTTGGACATGATGCAACTTGTATCAATATCAGTTACTTTTTCAGGGGACGGGGCAGGCAGGGGCGTCGATGAGACCTTCTGTGCTTGAAAGTAGCCTTGCAGTTGGCCGTCGCAATTAAATAAAGGGGGGGGGGGGCTGGGGGCTGGACACCATCTGATTATTTGGAGCGCTGTTCAAAGCATACGATATTGATCAACATCGGAAGGGGCGCTCTTCGACAAACAATGTTGCCAACAGGACGACTATTTGTTGTAAAGTCTTCCGTGGAGGAAGAATGGTGGGGGTTGAAACATCCCCCCCCCAAAAAAAGGGGACGTTTCTGGTGGTTGGTCGGTCGGTTTGTTGCTCAGTTTGTCGGTCAATCAGTCATTTAGCCCATTGATGCTTCTTCACCAATTTCAACAGCTTATCA